TATTGTTGCATCCAGGAAGTTATCTTAAAATTGATGGAGACATTAATTGCATTTCAAGATATTTTCAAGTTAACATGTTTGATTTCACTAAGCTTTGCAAACAATAAATAGAGGCAAAATTTATACAGGAGAATCAGTGGATTTATCCATGAGACTATAGGAAATAATAAATTTCATGTGGAGAATAGATAAATACAGGAGACCTAGGAAGTAATCATTCATGGGCAAAATAACAAATCACTAATTCTCACAGAGCAGAGAAATATTACTATTAAACCAACCAACAACAATATCAAAAATGAAAACATAAGGAATAAAAACTCTAGCAACAAAATATCTATCCACCCTGGAAATCATTATGGAGAATCTACAATTAAATAATATTTCCTCAAGTAAGTTAACGCAAGTGAGTTAAACAACTCAAACACATGACCCAGCTGTTTCCATTCCTTGGCATATGCTCAAAGGACTGAACATCCTACTCCACAGATACCTGCTCAGCCAAGATCATTGCTGTTCTACTCACAATAGCTACAAAATGGAAAGAGGCTAAATGTCTTTCATCTGACAAATGGATAGTGAAAATGTGGTACATACACACTATGGAATACTATTCAGCTGTTCAGAAAATTGAAATCATGAGCTTTGCAGCTAAATGAATGGACTTGTAAAGGATCATATTGAGTGAGGTAATCTGGAACCAGAAAGACAGTCATTGCATGTTCTCTCTCATAGGAAGTTCCTAGCTCCAAATCTTCAGATGTCAGTATAAAACTTGGAATGACTGTAGTAAAAAGAAAAATAAAAAGAGACCAGGTGTGGTAGCTCATGCCTTTAATCCCAGCACTTGGGAGGCATAGGCAGGCAGATCTCTGTGAGTTGGAGGCCAGCCTCATCTACAGACTGAGTTCCAACACAGCCAAAGATATATGGAGAAGCCCTGTCTTGAAAAAAAAAAAAAAAACACCTCAAAACAAACAAACAAAGTAAAAAGAGAGTGCTGTGGAGTGTGGATGAGTAATAGAGAGGGGAATAATGGAACAAGTGATGTAAAAAGGCAATGGAAAAACAGGGAGGGATTTAATTATAAAGAAGGGAAAGATGTAAACAGAGAAGGAGGGTAAAATAACAGTAAGGATGTTTAAAAAGTCATAAGAAGTCATATTATTATTCACCCACCAAATATGACTACAATACATGTAAATCTGTGTAAGCATATACATTTAGAATGTAAAGGAAAATTTCCCATCTGAGATAATAATGTTCCCACAAGATTCATAGATTTTTCTAACAAAACCACCAACACCAGACATGAGAAGTCTATTTTGAAATTGTTGATCAGATCTGTCCAAGAGATTCCCAAAACATTACAGGTTACTGCATTTGTTCATGGTTGCTTCCCAGAGGTAGAAGGTGAGTGAAAGAAGCTATGCACTTCAGTCACAGACGCCAGAGAACTCAAGATGGATCAGAATTTACGGCTTCCTGCCTGAGGATTATCTTTCATGGTATCTGAAGTTAACATGCACACTTTCAAAGGAGGGAGTCAACAGACAGTCCTATCCAGCTACAATACTTAGGACCCACAACAGAGATCTGCACTGCACAATAGCCGTAAGGATGCAAGAGTGGTACACATATCTAAATGGGAAGCAACAGCTTACTAGTTGAACTTAAGATACTTCCAAGAAGAGGGAAATCATGCCTAGTAAAGGAAACCTAGCCAGTCTCAGCGGGGTTAGTGGAGTCATGGATCTTGGAGAAGAACCTATAACCACTATCCATCACTCACAGGCACTCTCCATCTTCAGCCTACAGGCACATAGTATCCATAGGCACCATTCTGTAGGCTGAAGATGGATGCTGCAACGTACAGAACTTTGGGTGACTGTCCAGGTGGTGAGATGTCTCTGTCAATTCTAGTGTTTTGGAAGTTGCTTACAATGCACTTCCTGTTTACTTAGGTAATATTATATCCTTCTGGAGTCTTTGACAAAGTTTAAGAAAGATAGTTATAATTAAAAAAGATAGATTAGATATAAAACTTTAGACTCACAAAGATAGGATAGATAATTTGACAAATATAAATGGACTAAGTATTATAACTATAATTCTTGCTTGATAACTGTTTTGTTATATGTAATTTTACTATGTTAAAGTTAAAAGCTTCCTTTTTATTTAGACAGAAAAGGGGAGGTGATGTGGGATTTCCCTCTGTATGATGTGAATGTGTTTTGTTATCATTGATTAATAAAGAAGCTCCTTAGGCCTATGGCACAGCAGAATAGAGCAAGGCAGAAATTTCAAGCAGAGATAGAGGAGAAAAGAAGTTAGAGTCAGAGAGATGCCATTTAGCTGCCAAAGGAGAGATGCTAGAAAACCTCATGGCGATACATAGATTAATAGAAAAGGGTTAATTCAAGATGTTAAGAGTTAGCTAGAAATATGCATGAGCTAATTGGCCAAGAAGTGTTGTAATTAATAGAGTTTCTATGTAATTATATTTGGGTCTGGGCACCTGGGAAACGAATAAGCAGTCCCTGCATACACACTAGGGCAATTCTGAGGAGATCTTTCCAAGTCTCTGGAATTTTTTCTAGTGAAACAGAATGTGGCAAAGTGTTTGTATGTCCCACTTACACATTATCTTGAGCCCCTTTCCATCCCTTCATCAATCTCTCCACCATACCTGGATCCTTAGCTACTCTCTCCTTCCTCTTCACCTTTCAGGCCTCTTTGTTCAACTCCACAGGTGAGCAGGTCTGGGTGATCAGTGAGCCCTGCACATGAGAAAGATTCTTCAGAAAGCACAAAGATTTCTCACACAGAATTGCTCTGTGGATAAAGAGAAAACTAAATAAAGGATTCTACAAATGAGTCCCCCGTTGTCCTGCAGGGTCAGCACACTCAAAATATTTAGAAAGCATGTTCAGTTAGTGTCACTTGAATGCCACTTCTAGTCACAGATCAGTCAAATCTCAGGGACAGAAATGGAACTGGATAACTGGTATGAGATTATTATACACTAGTGATGTTCACAATTTATCATGGACCCAATATGACGGAAGCCTCACATCTCTCAAAGGGACACACACTCGCAGAGTAGTTTGTCAAGAAACCCTAAGGAGGAATAAGAGAGACTACAAGCAAACTATTCTCACCCACGGAAACCAGACTGCTGCAACTCTGTAACATCCAGTCTCTGTGCAAAGACCCCTGAGCCGAGTCCAGGCATTACTTTTCTCCTGGGAGAAGTCCAGTCACACCACTGGTGTCAACAGACCACAAAATAAAACACAACAGTTAGAAAGGTTGTGTTGGTGCACACCTTTCATGCCAGACATGAGGAGCCAGAGGTGGGCAGAACTATGAGTTCCAGTTTAACCTGGCCTTCACGGTCAGTTTTGAGCTAGGCAATTAATTCAGACCTCAAATAAAAGAATCAGGAAAAAGAAAAGAAAAAAAGGAGGAGGAGGAGGAGGAAGAGGAGGAAGAAGAAAGAAAGGAAGAAAGGAAGAAAGGAAGAAAGGAAGAAAGGAAGAAAGGAAGAAAGAAAGAAAGAAAGAAAGAAAGAAAGAAAGAAGAACAGCAGTTTGGTCATCTAGGGACAGAGTGCTTTTCTTTGAATAAGGAGAGGAGAGAAAAGACTATTGTAGACATTTTTCTGATATAGATGAGTTATTATAATTATTTAAGAGATGTATTTAGTACTATCCTAAACAATACGTTTTCAATCTTTTCCCCTCAGATGCATCCAACATAGGGTTCCTCTGTGCAGCCCCAGCTATCCTTAACCTAAGTCTATTCTTACTCTGTAGACTAGGCTGGCAAGAAATGCCAAGATCCACTTGACTCTGTTTCCCAGACGCTGGAATTAAAGGCGTTGCTACCACCACCACGTGGCTTTTAATGCCCTTTCTAAATGTTAAAATATGGTGACTTAATGCCATAAAAAAGCATAGTGTGCTTTTTCAGGCTCTAAGTTGCACATTATCTTTTTTTTTTTCTTTTTGACATAGGGTCTCACTATGAAGCTCTGACTGTCCTGGAACGCAATATGGAAACCATGCTGGCCTCCAACTCACTGAGGTCTCTGGCCGTCTTTGCCACGCCAGTGGTGGGACTAAAGGTGTGTGCCTCCAAGCATGTCAAAACATTTTACAGAAAGCTGTATTAAATAAAGTCCATACATCTCAGATGAAAAAAATAATGGTGAATAAAAAGTTGTCTTTTATATGTTTGCAGTCATAACTATGGAAATTGCAAAAAACTATCCTTTCCGATTCAATTACATTCGCAGGCGTTCTTTCCTTGATGAATATATAAAAGCGCTCCAAGCGTCAAAGTCCCTAATTCTATGCCATTCTGTTGAATAGGGAAGTGGCTTAACGTGGAAGTTAGCCGCGATAAACACAAATTTAAAAAGCCCGGTCCTTTCCACCTTGGCAAAGAGAACCGTGTTTGCAAATATCAACACATAAATTCAAATACTCTACTACATTTATTATTTTTATAGTAATATTTTGGAAATAAAGATCAATAAAAAAAAATCAGGACTGGTCCAGTCTTATTATGTAAAATTTATCGACAAGGGAAGACATCCACAGCAGAATTTCAGAGCCGGCTTAATTGTGCACAGCAGAGAAACTGCTCGCAACCCTGGTCCCTTCCCTCCAGGGTCCCAGCCCCGCAGCTCCTCTGACCTGGGAGGTTCCAGGGCCGCCGGGCTGCGGTTCCCCTACTGCTGACTTTCCAAGGCCGCCCAGCGGTGACAGCGGCTCCCGGGAGTTTTCGCGTCCCCGTGACACCTGCCGCGTCCTCCGCATTCAGGTCTGCACCGCGCGGTTCCACAAGGTGCAGGGCCCCTGGTAACGAGAAGGAATGGACACTCGACACTTCCGGCTTTGACGCCTCAGTCCACTTCCGGGTCCTCTTACACTGTTTCCCAGCTTCCGTTTACGTCACTACTCTAATCCCGCCCACTTCTCCGTCTCCTTTGTTCCCCAACATTCAAGTTCCACACACCCTCCCAAACGCTTTTCCGGTAGAGTCTCCGTCCCACTGAGACCGGTCCCGCCCACTCCGTCTCAGGCCGCCTTCCACACAGCTCCAGCTGTCAGGCTGCCCTGCACCCGCTCTGCAAAGCCTCCCCTCATGTTTGCTGCCGGCCTAGAGCAGAACTGGATCTAGGAGGACGCTGCATCCGGGTATCTGACCCCACAGTGAGTTCTGAACCTTTCAGATAAAAGACAGGCAGCCTAACCTCGACTTGACTACCAGACTCCCGGGTTACATACTTAACCAAACAATAACACGCTAAATTAAGATGCCAGCTTCCCATCGCCAACACAAACATAACAAGCCCAGACCAAATTCTGACATTTTGATTTTGGGAGAATCATTTCAGGAACTTGGATTTTGAAAAGAAATAGGTGTCTTATGTTCGTGGTGAGTCTATTCCTAATAGCCCAGCGGTGAGTTCCTCCCGCGCTGCAAGGCTCTCACCACTAGATGGTGGTCTTGTCCTTTACTCACTCAGAAACAAGTTTGTCTTCTGTGATGCATGCTAAGGATGCTTTGAGATAAAAGTTTTTTTTTGTTTGTTTGTTTGGGTTATTTTTGCGGTGGTGAATTCAGAAATTCCTGCTGTGCCAGATGCAGAAAATAATTAAGCTTTGTGGTTCCTGGCCTAAAAACGTCAGTTACACCATCCCATGTATGGCTCTGGGAACACTGAGGAAAATGAGGAGGAAAGGGAATGAGAAGAGAAAGAGGAGGAAGAGCTAAGACACAGCATTCTCTAGACTCCATACAGCTGTTGTAATCAGTAAATAACAGCAACTGTACTTACCTGCGTTGACCTCACACTAGACCACAATCAGTCTAGGAAAGGGAAAGGCTCACAGGACCCACTCTTTACCTCTCAAATGGTGGCTGTGGATGGATTGCAGAAGAATCATTGCCTTTAGCTGTAGTCCTCTGCTGGGCTCAGTAGGCTCCGACACATAGCTCCAAATCCACAGTATCACAGATGGGCCTGGTTAATTTCAGGGGATCCCAAGCAAAATCAATAGAGATGAACACAACAGAGACATTTGTTAGAACTGTGGACTAAGATAGTAGACATGTAGGAAGTAAAAGTAAATAGTATTTGAGGCGCATGCACACACACACACACACTTAGGTGTGTATACACACATATATATGTATGTGAGTGTGAAATAGTTAATAATAGATAAAAATTACCTTTGTATTTCCAGTTGGGTTTTCTCTTTGTAACCCTTGCTTTTCTTGAACTCCCTTTGTAGACAAGGCTGGCTTCAGAATCTCAGAGATCTTCCTGTCTCTGCCTCAGGTATGCTAGGATTAAATTGTGACCCATCCTGCCCAGTTCAGAATTTTTTTTTTTAAATGACCATATCAGTTAGTAATTTTTTTTGCTTGTATCAATATTTGTTGGGGTTAATTTTTTATTTTTTCAGGACTGGCTGTCTCTGTGTAACAGCACCGACTCTCCCAGAAGTCCCTTTATACACAATGATGGCCTCAAATTTACTAAGATCCACCTATATCTGCCTCCATTATGCTGGAATTAATGGAGAATGCCATGGAGGCCTGCTTATAATTTGGATAATATTAAGTAATACTAAGAGTCATGGGGAATCTTCTTTTTTTGCGTCAAAAGGATTCTTTTTAATCTATTTTATTTGTGACAGCATTTCACTGTGTGGTCCTGACTGTCCTGGAACTGCAAATACCAGGCTGGCTTTGAACTCTCAAGTACTGAGATTAAAGGTATGTGCCACCACTACCCAGATGTCAAGAAGTATTTTAAGTAACCTTGATGTTAGTTTTTCTCTGAAATTTTGATATAATCCTGTCAATCTGGTTATGGGGTTGTATTAAGGGTGGTGTTTCATATCGGCTTCAGTTACATTGCTACTGATGTTCTGTCTACATATTTATTTCATGTTGTTGAAATTTGGTGTGTTATATTCACCTGGAAATCCATCTATTTCATTTAAAATTTCAATGTAGTGTAATAGATTTTTGAAGGATGGTTCCACCTTGTCTTGGCAAGGTTTGGCAGTCACTCTCTTTTGTGTCCTGCTTGTCCAATTAGGACAGCATACTGTCAGTAGTCAAGGCAAGGACATTTTCTTACCTAGTGGCTAGCTTTTGCCACAAAAAAGTAAATTCCATATGGAGTTTCTTTGGTGCCCATCATCATCCCATGTAGATTGGTGCTACCAGGAACAGACATGTCTCATTGTCATAAAATGAACCTATGTTATTAAAAAAAACTTAAATGCCATATTCTGTAGATCTCTGAATTGTTTGAATATGTCCTGTCTACCTAAAATATATCTCTCATTGACCTTGAAAACATACCTAATATGACTACAAGTTTAAATGTAACAGGTGACTAATTTGATAAGCTACATTTTCTTATTACTCTATAGAGTTAGTAATAATAACTTTAAAGAACTAGAAATTTGTATTACATTGTTAAATAAGCTGTATAGATATGATTTCTTGAACAAGATTAGAAACATATTACAGTATGTTTTAACAAAGTTAATCTCAAATTTGTATCAATATACTAAGTTTGTATACAATATACTAAAGTCCAATTCAATTTTTAATACTAATAGTTGCTTTTTAAAAGCAGATTCTATAATCTACCTTTCTATCTTATAATATTTATATCTTCACATTTTTTAGAGTAGGTTCAATAATCTACCATTTAATTCTATCATATCTACACCCCCTTTGTTCTTTTCAAAACAAGAACTCTGAATCTAATTTCCCTTGTTCAACTTTCCTCCTGACACTAACCAATACAACTCGTAACCAACCCTGCTAAACAATTACAAATATACATAACCCATTGAATGACAAAATACCACTCACCCTACCTCTTGTAAACATGGACTTCATATTCTTAAATTTACTTACTGATGTCTTGGGGGAAATGGCATCTTTAGGAAATCCTGAAAAGAAAACTTTGGGCTAATTGTCAAGTCATGGGAGAGATAGTTTTGTCATTTATTTGTCCAGTCTGTGTGTAAGAGAAAGAGCAAGACTTGTCTCAAGTCCCACCAGAGTAGTCTGTGAGGCTGGACCATCTCAAACTAGCCACTTTGAAATCATTCTGAGCAGTTTTTAGGACAAAAGCCGATCTTTAGGTGGTGGTTTTCAGATTAATAATATAGTCCTGGAGGAATTGTAATTGTGGGGTCCCATCCTCCTTATGGAAACTTCAACATTCTCTGTTAGACATGGTCATGCTTCATGTCAGAAAACTTTTGACAGAGACTCAAACCTGAAATAGTGTACATGAAGGTAGATGAGATTTTTTTCTAGAATTTGTATGTTAGGTGAATTTTAATATCATAAAAAGTTTAAATATATATCAATTATATAACCTACAAAATATTTACACATTAAGAAAAGTGGTTAAAAGTCAATATATAACCAAAGTTTTATGAGAATAGTGTCTATAAAATGGCCCTTAAATACTTGTTTTTCCACACTGAGACAATGGGGATGTTCTATCGAGAACTCACCAAGGCCAGCTGGCCTGGGTCTAAAAAAGCCTGGGATAAAACTGGACTCACTGAACATAGTGGACAATGAGGACTACTGAGAACTCAAGAACAATGGCAATAGGTTTTTGATCCTACTGCACGTACTGGCTTTGTGGGAGCCTAGGCAATTTGGATGCTCACCTTACNAGAAAAAAAAATACTTGTTGTTCTTCTGTCCCATATCAGGTGACTCTTCTGACATGACACACAGATTTTGAATTACACTTTAATAAGCATTCTTGGGTTTAGAGAAGGAAAGAGCCACCCTCCATTCGAAAGCCAGCTTTGATCTTTAACTGGGCTGGGACAACAAAAGACCGCTTGCATTATATGTATGTAGAGAATAGCAGAATCAGACATTTAGTAAGATTTATGAAATTTTATTCTATTAGAAATAGAATGGGATGGTTGGGATGGAGGAAGGGTGGATATGGGAGCAGGGAAGAATATATCTTAATTAAGGGAGCCATTTTAGGGTTGGCAAGAGACTTTACTCTAGAAGGGTTCCCAGGTGTCCAAGGAGATGTCCCCAGCTAGTTCCTTGGACAGCTGAGTAGAGGGAGCATGAAATGGCCCTATCCTATAGCCAAACTGATGAATATCTTGCATATCACCATAGAAACTTCATCTGGCGATGGATGGAGATAGAGACAGAGACCCACATTGGAGCACTGGACTGAGCTCCCAAAATCCAAATGAGGAGCAGAAGTTGGGAGAACATGAGCAGAGAAATCAGGACCGCGAGAGGGTGCGCCACCCACTGTGACGGTGGGGCTGATCTATTGTGAGCTCACCAAGGCCAGCTGGACTGGGACTGATGGAACATGTGATCAAATCGGACTCTCTGAACGTGGTGGTCAATGAGGGCGGACTGAGAAGCCAAGGACAATGGCACTCGGTTTTGATCCTTCAGCATGTACTGGCTTTGTGGGAACCTAGTCTGTTTGGATGCCCACCTTCCTAGACCTGGATGAAGGAGGGAGGACCTTGGACTTCTCATAGGGCAGGGAACCCTGACTGCTCTTCAGACTGGTAAGGGAGGGGAAGGGAAGTGGGAGGAGGAGGAGGGGAGTGCGGGGAGGGGAGGGAAATGGGAGGCTGGAAGGAGGTGGAAATTTTGTTCATTTATTTATTTATTAAAGAGTTCTTCATTTATTTATTTATTTATTAAAGATTTCTTCATTTATTTATTTATTAAAGATTTCTGTCTCTTCCCCGCCACCGCCTCCCATATCCCTCCCTTTCCCCAATCAACTCCCCCTCTCTCATCAGCCTGAAGAGCAGACCGGGTTCCCTGCCCTGTGGGAAGTCCAAGGACCTCCCACCTCCTTCCAGGTCTAGTAAGGTGAACATCCAAACAGCCTAGGCTCCCACAAAGCCAGTACGTGCAGTAGGATCAAAACCCAGTGCCATTGTTCTTGACTTCTCAGCAGTCCTCATTGTCCACTATGTTCAGCGAGTCCGGTTTTATCCCATGCTTTTTCAGACCCAGGCCAGCTGGCCTTGGTGAGTTCCCGAAAGAACATCCCCATTGTCTCAGTGTGTGGGTGCACCCCTCGCGGTCCTAAGTTCCTTGCTCATGTTCTCTCTCTTGTTCCTGATTTGGACCTTCTGGTTGTAGTCCGGTGCTCCAATGTGGGACTCTGTCTCTGTCTCCTTTCATCACCTGATGAAGGTTAATATCCAGGAGGATGATTATATGTTTGTCTTTGGGTTCACCTTCTTATTTAGCTTCTCTAGGATTACGAATTATAGGCTCAATGTACTTTATTTATGGCTAGAAACCAAATATGAGTGAGTACATCCCATGTTCATCTTTTTGGTTTTGGCTTACCTCACTCAGGATAGTGTTTTCTATTTCCGTCCATTTGCCTGAAAACTTCAAGAAGTAATTGTTTTTTACTGTTGAATAGTAAAATAGCTTGTCTGGTCCAGGCAGGTTAACTGGTGTCTGCTTCATGGCTGATCTGAGCATCGTTTGTCTATCTCAGCTTGTCTTACAGTGTGGGCATACTTTATTGATTATATATGCTTTAGGCAAGTGGGCACTAGTAAAATCTTACCAGTTTCTGTGACTTCTTAAAGCTACTGTGTTTTCTGTTTCTGACTTTCTCTACAGGATGGAATATTTCACCTTCCTCCATAATAGTGATACTCAACTCTTGTGACAGCACTCCTTTAGTGTCGCATATAAAATAACCTGCATATCAGATATTTACATATAATTCATAGCAGTAGTAAGATTATACTTATAAAGTAGAATAAGAATAATTTTACATTGTTTGTACACTACAACATGAGGAACATTATCAAAGTATCACAACATTAAGAAGGTTGAGAACTACTACCTTGAAGAATCCTATTCCCTTATATCTCTTAATATCCTATGTTTTCAGGAACATCCTACAAGATGAGGCATTTGAATCACAGAGAAAATTGATTCACAGTAAACTCTTTTGGGCATAAACTTTAAGGCTTTGTCATCTTACCAATGATAACTTGCCCGCTATGTTCACTGTTGCTTTAGATGATTCTATATGAGTGTAGCTAGCATACAGAATCAACTTTGATGTCCATCCCCTTACACATGGGTAAATAAAAATGTGGGCCCTAGCTTTAAACTTGTTGCTTTTTGTGTTCAGGCAACATTATGTGTAGAAACCAAGAATCCGGGAATGGACCTTTTGTGGGGAAATGCAGGAAGAGAGGATGGAAAGTAGAATATAGGTGATATGAAATTAGAAACTGAGCAGAATATTTCAAATTTGTGGTGCAGGAATGGAGAAGAGAGGGGACTAGTATAAGGTCAACCCAAATGTGCTGTGCATGAAGAAAGTACTTGAGAACCTATTACTTTGCAACCCACGTAAAGAATACAATAAGAGAGGACAGTAGAACACAAGTGCTATAAAAGTATGGGACAGTGCTTGCTAGATGTTCAGTTGGAGATGTAGGAGGAAAAGAGGTGGAGTGGATGGGTTAACCAAAAGGAAAGATGCAGGAAGCAGCCTCATAAAATCCCACTATCTTACAAGTTAATAGGAAGTATAATTTTAAACATTGAACAGTGGTATCCCACATGGGTAAATAATGCTCCTCCCACTCATGGTGGTATTAAATGGAACTCTCTGTACCAAGTACTAATTATCTGTCTAGGACTTACTAGTTAGGAATGCCTGAGAGTCATCCCATACAAAACAGGTCATTTCCTGTGCTCTTGCTTGAAGGCTCTAGGTACATGGTGTTGCTAAAGACACCAAACTCTTGCTCTCTCTCGCTCTCGCTCGCTCTCGCTCTCTCTCGCTCTCTCTCGCTCTCTCTCTGTTTGTGTGTGTGTGAGAGAGAGAGAGAGAGACAGAGAGAGACAGAGACAGAGTCCCTCCTGGCTCCCTTTCATAGCCTGCTGGCAAAGAAAAGGTGTCAGTGGTCTTACTTGTCCTTGGACCCTGTATCATTCAATACCACCTTACTTTACAAGTTGTTTTGTACTGGTGCAATACTTGCATGATTGGTTATGGGCATAACCAAAGTCTTTCCGGATTGTATTAGAAGCCTGATTAATAGAGAAAAATTTATTTCACGGTCAAAAACTCAATTTTGCGAGTTATAAGGCCAAGGAGAGAACCCACTGATGTTTTGTTAATTCTCTTTTTGTTAATCTGTGCTCTAAATATTTGTTATATTTATGAATGTTTCTGCACTCAACTTGAGTTAAAGAAGTCTCCTTTTGCAGTTGGTAGTGATTAATGCATAGGTTCATAACGGTACATAAGGTATTAAGTAAAGCAACTGTTTGACTGTGGCAATTACCATTTCATGATGGCTGAGGGAGAGTCCCATGAGTCTCTTTGACCTCTATGAGAGTCTCCCAGAAGTTAATGAAAGCTATATGATTTATTATTTTGGTAGAGTAAATACTTCCCCCTTTACTTTCCATATGTCAAAATGAAATCATGCCCTCAAGTATTTCTTTAATTTTTTATTGCTTTCGTTTTGAGATGGAGTTTCTCTGTGTAGCCATTTGTATTGGATTTTGGACTATGAACCATGCTCAACTCACAGAGATCCACCAGTTTCTATTTCCAGAGTGCTGATATTATGCCCCATGGAGACCCAAGAAAGACCTTGGGGATTTTAAAGCTATTTGTGAGCATACCTGTGACGCTAAATGCTGGGATTTAAGACATTTATCACTTTGTATGGTATTATTATCAATAATTGAATGTTGAACAAGGTAAATGGTTTTATCACAATTATTTTTAGGGGCTGGCAAGATGATTAATGGGCAAAGCACTGGTTGTTCCAGAGGACCGGCATTAAATTCTCAACATGCACACAATAGCTCACACCTGTTTTTATTTTATTTACACCTTCAAGATCAGACATCAGACCGACATACAGTTCACAGAAAGTCTTATATACAAAGCACCCATGCACATAAAGAATAATTCACATAGTTCATATTTCAGGATTTTATTTGAATATAAGTTCTGTGATATTTTATAAGATTTAACACTTCATTAAAGGCTTTCACATGTTCCTTATCTTTATGTTTCTATTATGTATACTTGGAATTTGTAAGTCAAGAATACCATGTAAATGCTATGTCACTTGATGTACAATGGTGTTTTCTGTGCAGTATGAAGTTTCTGATGTCTTCTAACATTTGAAAGGTGGACAGAGGATATTCCAAAGTCAACACATTTGTGAAGTTTCTCTCCAGTATGAATTTTCTGAAGTGCTCTATAGATATGAGCAGCCAGTAAAAGACGTGTCACATCCTGTACATCTGTAATGTCTCTCTTCAGTGAGAATTCTCTGATATGTTATAAGGTTTTACATGCATGTAAAGATTTTTAAAGGTTTCTCTCCAATAGAAAGTTTCAGATGTCTGCTAAGATGTGAAATGTGGTTAAAGAATAGGTCACAGTCTTTGCTTACATAAGGTTTCTCTCCAGTATGACATTTTCTGATGTTGTCTAATATATGCACATGTATTAAAAGATTTTTCACATTCCCTACCCAGTATCTCTTCAGTATGTATTTTCTGATGTTCTCTCAGAGATGAATGTGTAGACAAAGATTTGCCCCACTTCTTACATCTGTAATATCTCTCTCCAGTATGAACTCTCTGGTGTCTTCAAAATATGAATTCTGGATAAAGGACCTGTCACATTCTCCACATTTGTAAGCTTTCTTGCAAGTATGAATTTTCCAGTGTTTTCTAAGATCTGAGACTGTAAAAAAAAGTCTTGTCATTTTCCTTACATTTATAAAGTTTTTCACCAGTGTGGATTCTGTAATGGTTTTTAACATGTATTATTTCAAGAAAGGACTTTCCACATTCATTTCATTTGTACGATTTCTCCCCAGTATGAAGTTTTTGATGTGTTTTAAGACTTGAACGCTGGGTAAAGAATTTTTTACAGACATTGCACTTGAAGGGTTTCTCTCCAGTATGAATTCTCTGATGATTTGTAAGAGTTGACTTCACAGTAAAGGATTTGTGACATTCTTGACATGTGTAAGGTTTCTCTCCAGTATGGATTCTCTGATGCTTTGTGAGTGTCGACTTCAGTGTAAAGGATTTGTCACATTCCTTACATATGTAAGGTCTCTGTCCAGTATGAACTCTCTGATGGCTTCTAAGATATGAGTTTAGAGTAAAGATTTTGTCACATACTTCACATTTGTAAGGTTTTTCATCAGTGTGGATCCTGTAATGGTTTTTAAGATGTGATATCTCAAGAAAGGACTTACCACATTCTTTGCATTTGTAAGATTTCTCTTTAGTATGAAGTATTTGATGCCCTTTAAGAGTTGAGAACCGGGTAAAGGATTTTTCACAAACTTTGCACTTGTAGGGTTTCTCTCCAGTGTGATATCTCTGATGCTTGGTAAGATCTGACTTTACATAAAAGGATCTGTCACACTCTTTACATTTGTAAGGCTTCTCTCCAGTATGAATTCTCTCATGCAGTGTAAGAGTTGACTTCAGATTAAAGGATTTGCCACATTTCTTACAGGTATAAGGCTTTTCTCCAGTATGAATTCTCTGATGCCTTATGAGATTTGACTTCACATTAAAGTATTTGTCACATGCTTTACATTTATAAGGCTTCTCCCCGGTATGAATTCTCTGATGTACAGTGAGACTTGAGGCAGTACTGAAGCATTTCCTGCATTTACCACACTGGTGTAGTGTCTCTCCAATGTAGACTGGTTGTTGGAAAAGACTGCCTGTAGTGTCAAAACAGTCATCGTATTCTCCCTGCCTGTGCTCTTCCTTTGCAGTGCAGAGTCTGTGATCTGGGGTAATGTTGGAGCACAAATTTAAGGATGCCTCAGACTCTTTAGAATTGAACAGTTCTTCTCCAGTGTGCATGCTTTCATGTCGTTCTGAGTTTGATGAATCAAAAGAGGCATCCCTGTACCAGTTGCGTCTGCAGTTATTAGAGTTGTCTGTAGTTTCACTTGTTCTATAAAGTGCACATGTGGAGGGGTCATGAAGCATTTTCCCAAGCTCCTCACACTGACAAGTCTGCTTTTCAGTCTTCACGTGTTGTTGGGTATGATCATATAGGTAATAGTTCTCTGGAAAATAAGTACAACCATATTAATGGGGATTGTTACTTGATTAACTATTTGGTCAATGATTGTCTCTCTAAGTTCTAGGTTAAAATAAGTCAGCCAGCAACTACTGAGATATTTCCCTTTCACTGTAACTGAATGTGTTCTCACAAAACCCTGACAGCCTTCAAAGATCTTTGAAACATAATAGATATCTGTTCCTTTAAAAAAATACCTTACACATAAGATAGATCAGAAAATTGAGAATCAAAAATTAGCTTTGGGATTAATCTCATTGATTGATTCAATTCTTAATAAATTCAATTCTTAATCTGTCTCTCTATGTTTAAATATTTTTTCTCAGAAATTGGTGAGTACAGTTTAATCCAATCCCAAATTCACAGTATTTAACTTAACTACGTGATAGGCATTAAAGATTACTGTTCAGAAGACCTAAATACATTAAACATTAAATTTTTACTTAAATGCATCACAGCATTTATTTTTCTCTCTAGAAAAACAAATGAGATTTTTCAAAAGGAATGGAGGCAAACCAAGTATTTTACCAGACACAAAAGGCTCATTTCATCTGAAACATGGCCGTCATGGACAGCTATTGCTTATTTCTATCCTTCACTGTCTGAGGACCACACACTGCTGTTTTTAACTTTCCACATGTGGTTATTCTCAAGTCTAGTCTATACGCCAACTCCTGAGAGTATTTTCCAGAAGAATGTCTGTTTATCCTCCTCTGGGAAGAAAACAAAGGATGGAATGTAAAAGCAGACATCAAGGATGTTGGTTAAAGAATAATCCTACATCATGTACCCACATTATTCATAAAATTATTCTAATCTGATGTCAGGATAGTCAAATAAAATGCATTTTGTACTAGTATTTACATCATAATTCAGGTGTAATAAGTACCTGTTCTAATCATTACAACAGACAGGATGCATCCTGGGATCAGGAAACTAAACTAAGTTATATGATTAGAAATCCTTTCAAGTGGAATTGAATATTGCAAAAATGTTCTCAGTTCTTGCTTTCTCTTTCACCCAAAGCCATCACTATCATCTTATTTATTCTCTAGCCTACCCTACACTGTACCTTCTCCTCTCTACATTCCAGGGGAATCTCACTTGCTCCAGAGCTACCATGCCTACAATTCATGTGTCCTATGAGGTGGCCCATGATCCATGCTAGAATGTTTAGAAAAATACAGAAGTCTAACACAATATTGTTCTCAGTATATGAAGAGAATGCAAAGTAGAAGAATCTAGGAATAATTTCTGTCTGGTATTTCCTGTCAGAATCTTCAGTGTATTTGTAGGGGAATTTTAAAGTTTCACATCTTGAAATTTTTCTCACAATTAAAATCATGTCAAATTCAGGCTGGGCAGTGGTGGGACACACCTTTAATCCCAGCATCAGGAGGCAGAGGCAGGCAGATCTATCTGAGTTCGAGGTCAGCCTGGTCTACAGAGCAAGTTCTAGTACAGTCTCCAAAGATATAGAGAAACCCTGTCTCAGAAAACAATAGAATAGAAAAGAAAACAAACAAAAAACCAAACATGTCAAATTCAACAGTGAATATGGAGCTTTAAGATATGGATGTAGATATATATGTAGATTAGATAATATATGACTAAGTTTCTGAATGCATTGAGGAACCAAAATGAGGAGTGTTTGACAAGACTAACATGGAAAATGAAAAGAAAAAAATCAAATACCATGAAAACATTTTTTCTCTACTACCAATCTTTGCCTAGTATCCTGTTGTTTTTTTTCCCATACACATTAGCAGAGGGTTTACAACCTATAATGCCAGTATATACAAGAGATTAGTTAAGAGTTCTACAAGAAAAATGTTCTTACCCACAGAGACCAGGTTGCTGTAATTCTCAAACATCACATTAAGGTGCAACATCCTCTGAGAAGTGTCCAGGCATTCCCACTCCTCTTGGGAGAAGTATACAGTCACATCCTTGAATGTCAGCAGACCCTGAAATAAAATAGTTGTTTGACAGTGTGTTACCAGACAGAGTGCTCTCCTTGAGGTTAGTAGGCTTGAGGAAATTGGGGATGTAAATGATGAAGACAATTACTTAAGCAGATGATTTTAATACATTTACATTTTATAATGTATTATCTAACTCTGTGAAAACAGTATGACACAATAGGCTTACAAGCAATATTCATAAAACATACATTTAAGGTCTGGACACAGTTTCCTATGTACTTTGGGTGCTGTGATTATGACCCTGGGGATTCTAGTGTACATGTCTCAGAAGGAAAATTCATTATGATGGAATGTGCTCTAGTTCCTGTACCTGTAGATCACTGCCACTCAATCAATTCTGTGGGTTCTATTGCCTTACAAGATTCTCAGTTTGTGTGTTTGAAACCTAGGACCCATGCCATCCCATTACATAGCAAAGTGGTAGAAAATGGAAAGTGGAGATTTCATGGTTGAGTTCATAGGCAACAAATTTTCATTTTTCACAGTAACAATGAATTTAATAACAATGAATTTAATAATACCATTAACTTATAAGAACAGGCAATCTATGGGATTTATTTTGTAAGCATTTTTGAGACACTATCAAGCATATAGAAAAATCCACATCATATTTTAGATATTCTAAAAATTCCAAAATAAACAGGGATATGCCAACTTGGAATGAAATAGCAATTTCAGAAATTTTTAAGAATAATTCATTTCTGAAGAATTAAAAAAAATTGACGGAAGTCCTGTTAGAGGATATTTGTTTATACTGCATGAAGGTCTGCCTAAAGTACCTGATTGGTTTAATAAAAAGTTGAATGAGCAATAGCTAGGCAGGAGCTCTAGGGAAAGAGATGAACTCAGGAAGAATCTGGTGTGGAGGGAGACTGTTGATAGAGGTTTCTTTCTTGCCCGGTCTCACAGTTGTTCAGTCCCAAAGAAATGCACAGAGGTCTATATTGACCATAAACTGGTTGGCCTATTAGCTCAGGCTTCTTATTAACTCTTACATTCTACACTGACCCATAATTGTTGACTGTGTCAGCCATGTGGCTTGGTACCTTTTGTCAGTGTGGCATTCTCATCTTGCTTCCCCTGTATTGGGGTGAAGACTGACCCTTTCCTCTTCCAAGAATTCTCCTGTTCTAGTCACTCCACATATACTTCCTGCCTGTCACCCTCACTATACTTCCTACCTGACTACTGGCCAATCAGCATGTTATTAAACCAGTACAACTGACAAACCTTTATAGTGTACAAGACCATTGTCCCACAGCAGGAGATACCAACGTGTCACAGAGCAGATTGGAAGGAAAGAAGAAAAGAAAGGTAGAAATCCACATGACAAAATGTAGATTAAATGAAACAGGTTATTTGAGTCATAAGAGTTATTTGAGACAAAGCCTAAGCTAAGATCTCAGCTTTCATAATCAATAATAATTCTCAGTGTCATTGTTGAAGAGCTGGTGGTCCCAAAAAAGAAAGTTCAACTACAATGTCCAAAAACATAAGAAATGATATTTAAGTTGTAGCTAGCATGTACACCTAAGGCTAGCAATTGTAGATGCATTCAAAGTATCATAGATTTCCTGTCAGTAAAGGAAATTCTGTAAATATGTAAATATGAAATTCTGTAAAAAATGTTATCACTTTTCAATGTGTTTCAAATATAGACCTCAAAACAGACTAGGGGAATATTTTAGCTTTTTTGCATCTTAAGTTTAAAGTTTTCTTGTGTTCCTTTTTAGTACTTATGCTATATTGTCTAAGAGATTTCAGGTTAGTGTTTATGATTCTTCCTTTATTTCTCTGGAAATGCATAGTGGTGACATATTTTATCTGAGTCATGAGTCAGGAGTGGTAATAGATCTTCTGTCCCCAGTGATTACGCTGCCCACATAAAAGTACACTGATTTATACAGTATTTGGGTCTGCTTAATCTCAGTGCATGGATTTTTTGTTGTTTGTTAACAACTCTCATAATAAAATATAAAATATTATCAGTAGTGGAAAAATAAAGGCTTTCAATATCTGACAATAAAACATTTCCAGAAAAGGACATGACCACTGACCTGAGACATTCTTACTGGAGAATCAGCCATTTCTTCTGGTATTTCTTCTTTGAGTATCTCTTTCAGGAATAATGAATAGATGGCTTTTTGTCCTTTCATATAAGGGGTCAAAAAGAAAAAGGAAAACATTAGTACTGAAAGCTGTACGAGAACAAGAGAACAATGTCAGATCACATGAAAAGACCCAAGAAACAGAATATGTCCAGGTACCCAGACAGTGTTCCCAAATCCAGGAAAGCATGGAATGACATTTAAAATTTGAAGAGACAGTCAGTATCAACAATATTGTTGAATCCAGAAAGGAAATATATCTTCAAACTGATGAAAATATAAGTGCATTTCAAGATAGTCTCGACTTGACATAATCTATGTTATCAAACAGCTTTGCAGACAATAATTAGAGGCAAAATTTCTACAGGAGAATTCGAGGGTTTTTTTCCATGAGAATAAGGGAAATAATAAATTTCATGTGAAGAATAGTAGAGTCTGGAAACCTGGAAAGAAATCATCCATGGACAAGACATCAAATCACTAATTGTCACAGAGAAGGCATAAAACTATTACAAATAACCCAGCCAGCAACAACATCAAAAACAAAAGCATTGTAAGTAAAAATGTCACGACCAAAAATCTAGCCACTCTGAAAATTGATATGGAGAATCCTCAATTAAATAAATAGATCTTCAAGTTAAATAAGTCTAGCATGTTGACCCAGTTCTACTTCACAGATGATTGATCAGTCACATTCATTGCCACTCTACTCTCAATAGCTACAAAATGGAACCAACCTAAATGTTTCTCGATTGACAGAATACTGAAAATTTGGTATGTATACACTATGGAATACTATTCAGTTGGAAAGAAAATTGAAACCATGAGCTTTTCAGGTAAATAAATTCATCTAGAAAAGATCATATTAAATGAAGTAACCCAGAAAGACAGACATTGCTTGTTCTTTCTCATAGTAAGTTTCTAACTTCAAATGCTCAGATGTGACTACACAACCTGGAGTAACTGAAAGTAGCCCAAAAAGTAAAAGGAGACCACTGTGGGGTGTGGGAGGAGTGATTGACAGGGAAATTAGAGCGAACAGTGATCTAAAAAGGGGTAACTGGAAAACCGTTTGGGGTGTGTGTTAATTATGGAGAATGGACAGATATATACAAAGGAGGTAAAATAACAGTAAGGACTTTTTAAAATCATAAGGAATTTTTCTTTTGTCATCTACTAATATGGCCTATAATACATACAAGTCTCTGGAAGCATATACAGTTAGCGTATAAATAAAAATTTCCCATCACAGCTGAAGTTGCTCTTCACAAGAGCCATAGATTTTCTTTCTTTCTCTTTCTTTCTTTCTTTCTTTCTTTCTTTCTTTCTTTCTTTCTTTCTTTTTCTTTCTTATATTTGATTTTTCGAGACAGGGTTTCTCTGTAGCTTTTGGTTCCTGTCCTGGAGCTAGCTCTTGTAGACCAGGCTGGCCTCAAACTCAGAGATCCGCCTGCCTCTGCCTCCCAAGGGCTGGGATTAAAGGCGTGTGCCACCACCGCCTGGCACCTTAGATTTTTCTAAGTAACCACCCCACCCACTTGCTTGGAAATTGTTGGTCACAGATGTTCTTGAGATTCCCAAAACTTTACAGGCTGCTGTGGCTGCCCATGTTTGTTTGCCTCATAGATGAAGAAGGTGAGTCTTTATTGTTGAAGAAGCCATGTACTTCTGTCACGGCCAGAGGACTTGCAATGGACCATTTTAAAAGTTTTCTCCCTGGGACCTAGCTTTAGTGGTTTCAGAAAACAACATTCCTGCTTTTAAAGGAGGGATCTAACCAACAGAGTTACCCAGCAATGGCCATTGTGAACCACAACATTTTCTCCTTAACACCATAAACGTAAGGGTACAAGAGTGGGCCACATATATTGTTGGTAACCAACAGTTTCTAATTGGATTTAATACCTCTTCAAGAAGAGAAAAATCATCCCTGTCTTGGAAACCTAGCCTGTTTCTGGGAATTAGTGAAGGCTGAATCTTGGGGGAGAACCTAAATCCACCATGCATCACTCACGTGCATAGTCATAAGATTATGTTTGCCTCCTCGTCTCCATTCTTCTGTAGAATGTCTTCTCAGCTGCGACAGGATAAACCTGAGATCTTTCCCGATGGAAATCTCCAGAATTATTTCTAGTGAAACAGAATGTGACAAAACTGAATTCTTGTCCTACAGATCCTCATCTCCTCCCTCTCAACACTCCAGGGCTCAATAGGTGAGCAGGATTACATGATCGATGAATCCAGCACATGGTAAAGAAATTGTTCAGAAACCAAGTGGATTTCTCATGAAGTTCTGTGCTCAGTAGATGAAGATACAGGATTCTACAAGTGATTCCCCAGTTGTCAGGCAGGGCCACAATACTGAAAACATTTGGAAAGCATTCTCAGCTAGTGCCACTAGAATGCCACTTCCAGTCACAGCTCAGTCAACTCTCAGAGCAGAAATGGAATGGAATAATTAGGATCACAAAAGCATCCAAAAATGAACTAGTGAATGGACCATGGACCAAATTTGATGAAAGTCTTAAATCTAGCAAAGGAAGCATGCTTGAGTAGTTTTGCAAAAACCTGAGGAGGTAAAGGGAAAGAGCCAGCAAACTATTCTTGCGCACAGAATCCAGACTACTGCAAATGTGTAACATCCCGTCAAAGCTCTCTGCGTAGTCCTCAGCCATTGCGAACCCTCCTCTCCGTAGTCATACCACTGGCTCTCAACAGACCACAAAATAAATCCCAGCAGTATTTTTCTTTTAGCACAAATTCAAATTGGTTTTAATAAACCCCTAGTCAGATATTAGAGTAAATGCTGAAAAAGAAAAATCAGAGAAGTCAAGGAGCCAGCCATGACTGCAGCTTCTTACCTCTACTGAATCCTCAGGCCAAAAGGCTGAGATCCTGTCTCTAGGACTCCTCAGACTGAGTGGGCTTACCTCGTGTCTCCTCTGGCCTTATATTCCTCTTTCCACCAATGCTTCCCCTCCCTAATGCTGGAATTAAAGGCTTGTGACTTTGAATCCTAAGATTAAGATTAAAGGTGTGAGCTTCTCTTTTAGACTGGTTAAATCTCACTTAGCTCAGGATGGCCTTGAACTGATCTTATTGTTTCTTTATCCCAGGTTCTGGGATTATAGTTTTGTGCTACCAAAGCATGGCCTCTATGGCTAACTAGTGGCTAGCTCTACACAGTGATCTTCAGGTAAGGTTTATTTGTTTGAGCATAAACAAATTATTACCACCAGTTGGAACAGTTTTGTTAGTACACACCTTTAATTCTAGCACTTGTGCAACAGTGGTGGGTGGAACTCTACGAATTTCAGTTCAACCTGGCCTACATGATGAAGTCTTGTCCAGGTAGAGCACCACTGTTAGTTCACGTCTCAAACACAGCAAATACAAGAACCAAAAATAACAATTTGATCATGTGTCCATGGACAATGTGCTTATCTTTGACCGAGGACACAAAAGATTATTGTAGACATTTGAGTGATGTAGTTGAGCTAATATAATTCTTCAAAAGCTGCTTTCTAACATTATCCTATACCATAATACCTTTTTTTATTTTTTGCTTTCTTCCCCACCTTAGGGCCAGTGTTTCTCTGTGTAGACTCAGCTATTCTTTAACTTGCTCTGTAAACCAGACTCACAAGGAACTTCGAGATTCACCTGTCTCTGCTTTTCAAATGCTGGAAATAAAGGCGCACATCACCACCACCTGGTTTATAATGCCTTTTCTAACTGTGAAAATACTTTGATCTGATACTATAAAACAGCATACTCTGCTTTTCCAGTCTGGTTTAATATCAGGTAGAGCTCAGAGCCAGGTAGAATCCTCTATTTGTGTGTGTCAATTAGTTTTTGTCTGTTTGTTTGTTTTTGGTTGTTTTATTTTCATTTTTTTAAAAAGGATTTCACTGTGTAGTGTTGATTGTCCTGAAACTCTACAACAGGTTGTTTTGTACTCTGGAGTACTCGTATTAAAGGCGTTTGCCACCACCAACCAGATGTCAAAAGCTCTTTTAAATAACTTTTCCAATATATTTCCGCTGGAGTTCTGATAGAATCCTGTCAGTCTGACCATGGGTTGTTTTAACGGTGACAGTTTATACCTGCTTAAGTCACATCGCTACTGATATTCTACTTACATCTTTATTTCATGTTGTTTAAATTTGATGTGTTATATTCATCTGTTTCAATTAGAGTTTCCAATTTAGTGTAACAGAAGTCTTTAAAGTCAGTTAACAAGAGATCAACTTGATCACTCATTTTCATCATGCAGGTTGTGCAGTTACCTTGCATAAATGACAAGACATGATAAGAGAATGGGTGTTATTGGCTGAGCTTTCATCCCAGCACTCAGTAGGCAGAGGCAGGTAGGTCTCTGTGATTTAAAACCAGACTGGCCTACAGAGTGAGTTCTAGGTCAGCAAAGACTACAGAGCAAACAACAACGATAACAAAAATATAAATATCAGCAAGGACATGAAAGCCTTTTAACCCATCACTCAGGGGCATAAACTGGGGAACTCAGAGTTCAGGCCAGTGACATCTATATAGTGAGTATAGAAAGATGGAAAAACACAGAGACATTGTCTCAAAATAATGCAAACTGCTTTATTAGAAATATCTTTTATGGGACAAGAAGCACCATGTAAGCTTCCAAAGGAAAGAGCCAAGCAAAAGTCCTGTGATCCCTATGAACCACATCACGTGTCATCCTGGCACAAGAGCCCTAAGAATGTAGTAATGAAAAGCATAATTTGGTGGTATCATGAAGCACGATCCTAATTAGTCTTATTAATGAAAACCCTGAGTCAGCTATTGAGGGTCAAAACTGAAAGATGAGAGAAAAGGAGTACCCAGTCACCAGAGAATTCTTTTTTTTTTTTTTTTTTTTTTTTGGTTTTTAAAGACAGGGTTTCTCTGTGGCTTTGGAGCCTGTCCTGGAACTAGCTCTGTAGACCAGGCTGGTCTCGAACTCACAGAGGCCTGCCTCTGCCTCCCGAGTACTGGGATTAAAGGCGTGAGTCACCATCGCCCGGCTCACCAGAGAATTCTTATCTTTACAAAATCTCAGATCCAGTGTTTGGGATATTCTC